TGGATTGTTTTGGGAAAAAAAATCACTTTCAGGAGTTTGTAATGTAAAAAATCCCCAGTCGTCTAATTCCTAATTTTATTTAGTTTTCGGTGGACACAGCATCTTTTTATTTTATTTTTATGTGGTGCTGAGGATCGAACCCGAGTCCCGCCCGTGCTAGGTGAGCGCTCTACCGCTAAGCCACAATCCCAGCCCCCTAATTCCCAATTTTAATTCTCTGAAGTAACCTCTGTGTGTTTGTTGTATATATTGCCAGACATTTTCTATGCATATCTAAGCACCACAGATATAGAAATCACCTCAGTACTTTACCGTCTCTGTGTGAGCTATTAAGGCAGATTTCTCAGTGGTCTCCCTGCCATCAGCCCCTCTTCACTCAGGCTGTCACCAGAGTTGTCTACCTACTAAATCTTACCTGTCTAGCTACTAAATCTTACCTTGTTTAAAGGCCTTACTTATTTCCTATTACATACAGGATAAGAACCCATGCCTTAGTACTATGCATATAGGAGCCCTTCACAGTCTGGGTCTCCAGCCTTACTTCTTGTCACTTCTGCCGCCTTATCTCCAGTGTCACTGTTCATAATAATCTTTCATGTCTCATCATATCCTACTACCATTGTATATATGCCCAGTCGTTTCTCTACTTGGCAAGTTCCTACTCACTGCCCAAGCCCTTGCCCATTGTTGTCTCCTTTTTAAGAGAGTCTGTCCCAGTTTTCTCAAGTAGAGATAATGGTTCTTTCCTCTGTTCGTTCAATCATATCTTTTGTTTCTTTGTTTTTGGTCTCATTTATATTTCTCTCCCTATTCCCTGTGAATAAGGGCAGACTCTTATTCATTTTATGTTCAGTACTCCACCTAGCATATGACAAGCACTCAATAAATATTGCTAAGTAGACATGTCTGTAGCTTGAAAGACTGAGTTAAATTCAGAGTGCAAAACTATGCCCATCATTTCTTGAACTTTTTAAGCCATTTTTTTTTAAAACGTTTTACAAATTTTGGTTAATGATACTGTTTTTAACCTTTTAAGGATGGTAGTGAATTCCAGTATGATCTTATTTCTTACATTATAAAATAATTCACATTTATTTATTTTTTTATTTTTTAATTCTGGAATTAAACCCAGGGAACATTTACCACTGAGCCCTCTTTTTATTTTTTATTTTGAGATAGGGTCTTACCAAGTTGCCTAGGCTGGCCTCAAACTTGAGATCCTTCTGCCTCAGCTTCACAAGTAAGCTGGGATTATAGACGTGCCATCATGCCCAGTTTAATTCCATTTTTAATGGACTACTCTATAATAATTTTAACTGTTAGATTTATATAGATACAGATTACAAAATGTAAGAAGTAAAAAATGATTCATAACAGTTTGATCCTACTTTGGGAGAAAAATGGAGTCAGTATATTATAGTGGGGGTTGGAGGTTTTTTGTTTTTGTTTGGTTTTAATTTGCGCAGAGAATCAGAAAATATCTTTAAGTAAAACCTGAAATATGAATTTTAAAATATTTTAGCTGTGTATATCAGGTCAGCTCAGTTCATTATTTTGGTGTTTGCTTTGGGTACTGTAATATTCTAGATGCTATAGTGGAATATGAAAATTTTTATTGTGCAGCAATTTATAGCATATGTAGCAGAAATTCCAGAATATCGCTTTATGAAGGTGATCAAAAAAATATAAAACTATAACTTATTTTAAATGCTCGTATGTGTGTTCACATGCTTGCACCAGAGATTGAACCTAGGGCCTTATGCATGCTTAGCACACACTTTACCATAAACTTGCCCTGAGCTCTTTCGATACGTTTTTCATAAATTGAAATATTTCTCTTATATTTTGGGAACCAAATTTTATTTCAGTGTCAAATTGAAAAATTGCTTTGCTTTAAAGTCAAATTGAAAAGCACATTTGCTGATATAAAAAATAAGGTAGTATACAAAATAATTAAATAGCAAAATATTTAAAAATATAAAATCCTGAATTATAATTTCCTAATGGATGTCATATGTTGTTCATTCTTATCTGAATTGACACGTAAGATTATTTAGCAGTGAAAATATAGGTATATAGTTATTCAAAAAGTGTTTTCTTGATAAATCAAATTGATAGTTTCTGAAACACATGTTTTACTGAATCATTGTTAACTGAATAACTTTGGTTACATTTGCTAAGTGGTTATCAGTATGCTAAATTGGGGTTTTAAACTAAACTGTTGGGTTCTAAAACTCTCTAAAAATGATTTGGAATTTTATCTTCTCTATAAAATAAAGCAGAATTTCAAACAAAAATACCTGGTTTAAGAAATAAACAGTTTTCTTCTGAAAATGAGATACTCTTTTTATGATGGTGAAGGCACTGATTACCACATTTTCTTTGCATCTTACTGAAGAAGCTCTTAGTGCACTTGCAAAGAGTGTAAGGAGTCATGTCAGAGGTCAGCTATTTGAGTCCTTTTTCCCACAGCTGCCTGGTGTGAGTGATCTTTTACTGTGTTTCAAAAAAATGGGCAAGGATTAGAGAGGATTAGAAAGAATATTACCCTCTTGAATATAGGCCCAAGGCACTAAGGGGAAAAAACCCAACCAGGCAGCAAATGGGCTTTGCTTGACCAGGACACAACCTCTGCTGCATTCCTTTAAGAAACTGAATGGGAAATGTTAAGTCCCCAAACTGGATTAGTAAATAATCTCATAGTTTGTGACATCTGCTAAAATAAATCGATGAGCAGACTGCATTCTTACACTTTGAGGATAGAGCCATAGAGAGACATCAAGAGTAAAAGTAATTAAAGATGGGCATTAGCTCAGTAATAATTGGAGAGACACATTTCATAAAGAAGAAATTATTTCAGATGTATCAATATGATGAATACCTATGTATTAATAACCTAAGGTTTAAATTTGAAACCACTATAACCTTTTGATTTTAAAATTCTCCCTGGAATTTTATTGCTTATAAACAGTCTTTAAGTGTTTTACAAGTTCAGCTCTTTCATTTATAGTTACCGCAGTTTATATTAACAGCCTGGGATACTTTAACTTGAAATGTGAGACTGTCTCTTCTGAGACATATCTGGAATGTTTCTCGTTTTATATTTTACAAAATAATTAATATGGTTTGGACCTTATGACTCATAATTAACATCCAGTTGTTTAGGACTAAAGAGGTTGTTTCAGACTGGTTATAGAAGGGAAGTGCATTCTGTCCTCAGTCTTTGGAGGAAGTATTTGACTAACTAAACATTTTCAAAAAAGGTTTTGTTTTAAGTTGAGCACTTAATAGTAAAGATAACATACAAGTGGTTAATTTTGTATCTTTCTTCCTAAAAGTATTATACATGATTTGTGATAACTGTGATTACACTGCTTTTGTTATAGATTAAAATATTAGGATGAGTATTTTTCTGAAGCATTTGAGAGAGAATTCAGTTTCATATATGAAGAAGAATTGATAGACTATAACAGGAATATTCACCAATACCTTCAATGCATCTTGCGCTATGCTTTTCTGGTTCAGTGCCTGTTTTCAAGAGGAGCCTGTTCTTTGAATATGTCCTTTGGTTTTCTCTTCACTTCCTATTCCCAGTCTGCTTATCCAGTTTCTATCCATCTTTAAATATTAGCTCAAATCCCATAAAGTGGTTTATCTCTAGACCCTAAATCATAATATCTCCTAAACACAGAGTTATCATGCATGCAGCGCTCCTGCTCCAAGGTAATTCCTTAAAAAAAATGAAGACATTGTTCACAACAAAACTTGTACACAAATATTTTTTAAAATATTTTTTAGTTTTAGATGGACACAATATCTTTATTTTATTTTTATGTGGTGCTGAGGATCTAACCCAGTGCCTCACGCATGCCAGGAGAGCACGCTACCACTTGAGCCACATCCCGAGCCCCACAAATATTTTTAACGGTCTTATTCAAAATAGTAAAAAGGTAAAAACAACCAAATATCTGTCTATTGATGAATTAAAAATACACACACACACACACACACACACACACATGAATATTATTTAACCATAAAAAAGAATGAAGCACCAATGTGTGCTATGACCTGGATATACCTTGAAAATATGCTAAATGAAAGAAAATAGCCACAGAGGACCACATATGATAAGATTCCATTTGTATGAAATGTCAAGAACAGGCAAATTTATAGAAACACAGAATAGGCTAGTGCTTGCTTAAGGGTGTTAGGCAAATGAGGAAGTAGAAAATGATAAAAGGATACAGTGTTACCTTTTGAAATATGTGCAATGGTTGCACATATTTGTGAATATAATAAAAAACATTGAATTGTACACTTTGGGTAAATTCTGAGGTGAATTTGTATCTCAATAAAGCTGTTAAAAAAATGAAAACAAAAACCAATTTCTTATCCTTGTGGCCATGTACATTGTTTGTACCTCTAGTAAGACCCTTGACATAGTTTGGTTATACTTATTTACTTAAGAAATCTTCCATTATAATATGAAGCTCCAGAGAACAGGTAGGGTTTTTTTTGTTTTTTTTTGTTTTTGTTTTTGGTATTCCCTAATAAGCACAGTGTTTGCACTCAATAAGTATTAATTTAATTGCATTTTTCCACAATTGTTTTTTTACCCATAAAATGGGAATAAAAGAAAAAAAGAATTGAATGTTGTCACAAAGTATTATTTCAAAACTGTATTTGATAATTTCACATTTAAAAATATTCTCACATTATTTACTGCGCTTGAGTCTTCATTTTGCATTTAGCAAGGTCACATAAGCCATGTATTGCCTTATTTTTACCTATAGGAACATTCTGATTTTTAGAATTTGCATATATAAGCAGTTTATACACAAGTTTCTGTAGGACCTTCATGTCATTTCATGAAGATTAATGTGTTTTTAATGAATTTGCTTTATAACATTTTGAATATGTTTTTGTGGGTGTTTGAATTTAACACAGTTTAACATTTCTTTTTCTGTTGTTTGTTTATGTGCATGTTATTCTTGCAGTATTTACTAGAGATGAAAAGTTTAATTTTACCTCCAGAACACATTTTGAAGCGAGGTGATAGTGAAGCAATTGCCTATGCTTTCTTTCATCTTCAGCACTGGAAACGAATAGAAGGTGCTCTTAATCTGTTGCAATGTACATGGGAAGGCAGTAAGTATTTTTTTCCAAATGTAATACTAATCTCTGATTATTCATTGTATTCATGGGCAGACTTTTTAAATGAGATTGTCTGTGTTTCTGTAAGGATTTGTTGTTAAGGTTGGTTTCAAAGTGAGCTCAGTGGCATTATGTTTGGTTTATTGTAGAAGAAATAGTTAGTGTATTTATATTTTTTTTTTGACCATTTTTTTTATTGGTTGTTCACAACATTACAAAGCTCTTGACATATCATATTTCATACATTAGATTGAAGTGGGTTATGAACTCCCAATTTTACCCC